AGGAACAAGCCCTCTCGCACAACTGTTCTTGCACAAGAGGCCAGTGTAGCCAGGCAACATGAATTACTTGTGCAAAAAAGCCCGATGGTTAAAATGGCAAGAGAGCGGCTACACTGGCACGGATGCTCTTGTGCAAACGCACATCTCTTGTGCAAACGCCCATGCCGGTGTAGACGCTCTCACCTGGAAGAGTTCTTGCACAAGATCATGCCAGTGTAGACGTAGCTTTTGGCGAGCTGTTCTTCCAACTCCTTTTTGGCTTTTCTTATTCCCCTTAATTTGGCAGTGTTGAGGCTCTTTTCTTTTACTACACTTGAATGTAAATTAAACAGATCTGCTTGGCCTGTGGTTCAATTTATTTTAGATCCGAGGGAAACCAGGACACTCCAGAAAGACTTAACTACATTCTTCTTTATTATTAGACAACCTGTCTATTAAGTGGCTACCATTCTTGTCTGTCTATCATGGGATTGTCAATTAGGGTTGCCAGGTGTCCGGTTTTCGTCCGGACAGTTTGGTATTTTGGCCTTCCATCTGCTAAAAAAAGCCCAGAGAATACTGGACATGGAAAATGTCTGGTATTTTCTATTTTCCTTGGATGGAAGGCCGTCGTCCTCTGGGAGGCCTGGGGAGAGCAAGGAGCGTGGTAATTTAAAGGCACAGCAACCTCTTTTTTTTTTTGGTCAACCGATTTTTCCCTGCCTGTTCGGGATTTTTTGTGAAGGTATCTGGCAACCCTATTTTCAACTTGTCGCTCCTGCGCATGCGCCAACGCGGCCACCCCCACCAGCTCCTGCAGGCGTGCTCTGCCACCTGGCTCAGTGTCCCATGAGCTGCTGTGGCCGACACAGCAGGCGTCCTCTGCCGCTGCCTCTTGCCGCCGCTCCACCCCCGGCCTGACCGCAGGAGCCGCCGGGAGAGCAGCAGAATCCCAGGTGGGCAGGGAGGGAGGACGGTTGGTTGCTGCCCACCTGCGGGGCCGGGCCAAGGGTGCCCGGGCGCTGCTCTCTCTGGGCAGATAGCCTGGCCGTGGGGGCGCCATCCACCTGATGGTCTGCACCACGCAGGACCAGGCTGGTGCCAGGTACAAGGTGAGGCTGAGCCCCCAGGGTACCGGGTTGGAAGCAAAGCTGCCCCCGGGGCTGGGATGGGCGGCTCTTTGCTGCTGTCCCCCGAGCACCAGGCGGGCAAGAACCTCAGAGTTTTTAGTAGCGGAAACACACTATATTTAAGACCAAAAAGACAAAATGATATACACACACACGACTTAAGGTAGCTGCGAACTGTTAGCCACCCAATCTTTCTCCTCAACTGGTAGCTGAAAACAGTGGCTGCATCTAGACTGGCAAGTTTTTCCGCAAAAGCACCTGCTTTTGCAGAAAAACTTGCCAGCTGTCTACCCTGGCCGCTTGAATTTGCATAAGGACACTGACGATCTCATGTAAGAGTGTCAGTGTTCTTGCGGAAATGCTATGATGCTCCCGCTCAGGGATAAGCCCTCTTGCGCAGATGCTTTTGCACAAGAGGGCCAGTGTAGACAGGTAAAAACCGTTTTGCGCAAAAAAGCCCCGATGGCGAAAATGGCGATCGGGGTTTTCTTGAGCAAAACCGCGTCTAGATTGGCATGGACGCTTTTCCGCAAAAAGTGCTTTTGTGGAAAAGCGTCCGTGCCAATCTAGATGCTCTTTTCCGAAAATGCTTTTAACGGAAAACTTTTCCGTTAAAAGCATTTGCGGAAAATCATGCCAGTCTAGATGCAGCCTCTGGGTTTACTCTTTTGGTGCGCTTTTAGAAAGATTGTCTTTTAAAAAAAAATTATATCCCTCCCATCGATTCTTCTTACGAAGCCCATTTTATAGCAAAGCGAGACTTGGTCATTCTAATATTTACCAATTGATGATGTGTCGGATAAGATACCTACAGTGCACAATGCCCCTGTTCTGGGTACATCCTGTAAGCTCTCTATGGCTATGTCTAGACTGGCAAGTTTTTCCACAAAATCAGCTGCTTTTTCAGAAAAACTTGCCAGCTGTCTACTCTGGCCGCTTGAATTTCCGCAAGAACACTGACTCCCTACTGTAAGAAATCAGTGCTTCTTGCGGAAATACTATGCTGCTCCCGTTCGGGCAAAAGCCCTCCTGCGCAAATCATTTGCGCAAGAGGGCCAGTGTAGACAGCACAGTACTGTTTTCCGCCAAAAAGCCCCGAAGGCTAAAATGGCAATCGGGGCTTTTTTGCGCAAAAGCATGTCTAGATTGGCATGGACGCTTTTCCGCAATCTAGACGCGCATTTCCGCAAATGCTTTTAATGGAAAAACTTTTCTGTTAAAAGCATTTGCGGAAAATCATACCAGTCTAGACGTAGCCAGGATGTTGCAAAACTATATATGGACTGTAGTTAACAGTTTTATGGCTGTATCTGGAATTTTTGCTTATCAAGAATAAAATGTACCAATACAAGGTTCCTCCCGATGTCCCTGGCGTGGTTTCATGTGCCATGCTGTATCTGTGACTTTGTGCAAAAAAAAAAAAAAAAAAAAAAATCCTACCTCTCAAAGCTCTCCCCCTGCAAACCTTGCCTGTGTGTTTACATGCACCAGCCTTAATAATAGATGGAGATATACCTATGTCATGGAACTGGAGTCCCCTACACTCATAGCAGGACCAAATACTATCCCTGACAGATTGGCCCTAGATCCCTAAACAGCCCCCTTGAGGACTGAACTCACAACCATGGGTTTAGCAAGTCAATGCTTAAACTCTGAGGTATCCCTCCCCCCAGCCTTGAAACAGGCCTGGGTTTTGCTCCATGAGAGCCGCACAGTGGTCAAGGCAGACACATCCAGCTTTCCCTCCAGTGCTAAACGGTGTCGGGGCGGACGCTATGGTTCCTTTCAGGTCTTTGATAAAACTTAACTTGCTCAGGGCCCACGACCACCCACCCCAGCTGGACCCCCCCAGGAAACCCCTTACAAGTGCACTTTGAGAACCATCAGCCAGCCAGTTTTAAATCCATTTAATGTGTTCATTTCCGAGCTATGTCGCCCGGTGCCCTACAACTGTCCAGGCCCGGTACCGCCACGCTGGTAGGTTGATCAGCCCCGGATGAAATCGCATCCAAAGATCTGGGGTTGTCAACAGGGCTTACAAGAGGAAATGCGAGTCAGGCCCTGTCCTGGGCGTACGTCACCCCCAGCTGCTGCCGTACCTCGTCCATGATAGAGGCCACCAGCTCGGAGTGAGCCAGGCTCATGATGGGGCTCTCCTTCAGCCCTGGGGGGGGGAAAAAAGAAGGGTCAGTCTAGGAGGTGCTGCGAGCTTCCCCCCAGCGGTGCCCTGGCTGGATGCTGGGTGCTATGAGCTTCCACACAGCAGGGCCCCCCGCTGGATACGCTGGGGGCTGCAAACTCCTCCCCGCCCCAGCAGTGCCCCCTCACGAGTTACCCTT